AAATGAGCCCTGCAAAGCTCGCAAGAGACTGAGAACTTGGGGGCAGCAGGAAGCAGGAGTGAGGTAGAGAGCTGAAAACTGAGGTAGCTACAAGTTTCTCTACAAAAGGGTGGGACACCCAGGTCCTCTCCAAGCCCCACACGGCCTGGCTACCTGCCCACTCCCAGCTGCAGGAGATGAGAGATGGAGTCAAGCTCCAGGACTGAAGACCTGAGTCCAAGCTGCAGGCAGGGAGAAGGAGCAGGGCAGGAAAGCAGGAGAAAAGGTAAGGCTAGGGGCCTGGGCTCTGAAAGCTCGGTTCCTTCCTGCTGTCTGTTCCCAGGAAATCTACACGCAGGTGTACCCTGTCTCAGGCACGTCCTCCTCCCCAGGTGGGAGACCGGAGGAGTCATCTCTAGAGAAACCAGCCACCCTGGAATAGACAGCCCCGAACAGTCACATCTGGGGCCTCAGTGAAAAGGCCCACTTGCCACCCAATCCCTTTCCAGCAAAGGCCAGCAGGTGAGAGAACCACTCCTGTGGTGTCTTCCATGGAGAAGGCAAAGATGTTCACGGGGGAGCTGCTCCTTCGCCGGCTCTCCTGTGCTCCCATACTCTTCCCTGCCTAATGCCTCTGCAGCTACCTGTTCCTGTGCTTCTGGGCACCCACACTTCCAGGGGCTGATCTTCAAATGGCAGTTTGGGACCCTGGCCTGGGTGACCTAGGAAGATCACACAGACCCTGTTCAGAACCCATGAAGTGGGTTTGGCTAGGTGAGTTTCCATCTCCTTAGTCGTTTGTTCTCAAAGCCATAGCCCAGGTACACAGCAGCGGCAGTTTGCCTTTGTCTCTGCTGGTTTGCATGAAACGGGAGGAAACAGTGAGCTGGCCCTGTCCCCTCTATGCTGGAGTTTATTCAGACCCCTTCAGCCCGCAGCAGCTGAACTCTCAGCCCCATTGCCAGGCAATGCAAGCAGGCAACAAGCCCACAGCTTCATTCTCGCCCCACGTTTTGTGCTTTTGCTGTTTCTGGCCTGTGGAATTCTTTATCTTGTTTTTGAACCCGTTCTTTTGTTTTTTCTCTTCTTGTAGTTTGTTTCTTTATTTGGAGCAGAGATGTGATCAAATCATGAATTCAGCGTGCTATTTTGACAGAACCCCATGTTTTGAATTGAAATCATTTTTTTTACACCAAAAGAACAAACGCAGCTAGTAGAGTAGTTAATTCTATGTTTTGGGCAAGACAACTAAAGCTGGGAATAGAGTATCTTGTAAGCCAGTGGTCCCCAACCTTTTTGGCACCAGGGACCGGTTGATTTCATGGAAGACGATTTTTCCACAGACTGGGATGGGGGTATGGTTTTGGGATGAAACTGTTCCACCTCAGATCATCAGACATTAGATTCTTATAAGGGGCGTGCAACCTAGATCCCACACACGCGCAATTCACAATTGGGTTCATGCTCCCATCTGAGAATCTAAGGAGGCTGCTAATCTGACAGGAGGCAGAGCTCAGGTGCTAATGTCAGCAATGGGCAGCAGCTGTAAATACAGATGGAGTTTCACTTACTCAACTGCTGCTCACCTCCTGCTGTGCAGGCCAGTTCCTAACAGACCATGGACCCACAATGGTCTGTGGCTCAGGGGTTGGGAACCCCCGTGGTAGACCATCAAATATACTGAGAAAGATGGCACCAGAGTCCAACTAAAGAGACCAAAATTATAGCAAGCATCAAAAAGAAAACCATGATCACAAAGGACTGGAATACACAATTCTCCAAAGAAGATATACATTTGGCCAATGAGTACATGACAAGATGCCCAACATCACTAGAGAAATGCAAGTCAAAGCTACAATGAGATATCACCTCACACCCATTAGGAGAGCTACTATTAAAAATGAAAACAAGAAAAGAACGAATGTTGGTGACGATGTGGAGAAATAGAAACCCTTGTGCATTGTTGGTGAGAATGTAAAATGGTACCACTACTGTAGAAAACACTACGGAAGTGCCTCAAAAAATTACAAATAGAATGACGCTGGGTGTGGGTGGCTCACATCTGTAATCCCAACACTTTGAGAGGCTGAGGCAGGAGGATCACTTGAAGCCATGAGTTTGAGACTAGTCTAGGCAACATAGGAAGATCCCATTTCTACAAAAAATAAAAAATCAGTCAAGCATGGTGGCATCACACCTGTGGTCCCAGCTACTCAGGAGGCTGAGGCAGGAGAATCACTTGAAGCCAGGAGTGCAAGGCTGCAATGAGCTATGATCATGCCACTGCACTCCAGCCTGAGTGACAGCATGAAACTACTCTGTTTCTAAAAAATAAACATAAAAAACAGAATTACTGGCCAGGCCTGGTGGCTCATGCCTGTAGTCCCAGCACTTTGGGAAGCCAAGGTGGGCAGATCATGAGGTCAAGATATCAAGACCATCCTGGCCAACATGGTGAAACCCCATCTCTACTAAAAATACAAAATTTAGCTGGGTGTGGTGGTGTGTGCCTGTAGTCCCAGCTACTCGGGAGGCTGAGGCAGGAGAATTGCTTGAACCCAGGAGGCGGAGGTTGCAGTGAGCCAAGATTGTGCCACTGCACTCCAGCCTGGTGCCAGAGTGAGACACTGTCTTAAAAAAAAAAAAAAAAAAATAGAATTACCATATGATCCAGAAATTTCTTTTTTTCTTTCCTTTTCTTTTTTTTTTTTTTTTAAGACAGAGTTTCAGTCTTGTTGCTCAGGCTGGAGTGCAGTGGCACGATCTTGGCTCCTCTGCCTTCCAAGTTCAAAGCGATTCTCCTGCCTCAGCCTCCTGGGTAGCTGGGATTATAGGCACCTGCCACCACACCCAGCTAATTTTTGTGTGTTTACTAGAGACAGGGTTTCGCCATGTTGGCCAGGCTGGTCTCAAACTCCTGGCCTCATGTATCTGCCCGCCTCGGCCTCCCAAAGTGCTAGGATTACAGGCTTGAGCCAATGTACCCAGCCCAGAAATTTCACTTCTGAGTATATCCCCAAAAGAACTGAAAGCAAGGTCTCAGGGGTATTTGTCCATGTGTGTTCACAGCAGCGCTATCCATAATGGCTAAAACATGGAAGTAACACAAGTGTCCACCAAGGGGTGAACAGAGAAGAAAAAAGATACAATGGAATCTTCTTCAGCCTTAAAGAGGAAATTCTGACCCATGGATGAACCTTGAGGACATTATGTTAAGTGAAATAAGCCAATCACGAAAAGACAAGTGCTAGATGATTCCACTCATAAGGAGGTAGTTAACAGGAGTCACAATCAAAGGGACAGAAAGGAGAACAGTGATTACCAGGGGCTGTAGGGAAGAGGAATGGAGGGTCAGAGTTTCCATTGTGCGAGATGAAGAGAGTTCTGGAGGTGGACAGTGGTGATGGACACACAACATTATGAATGTATTTAATGCCACTGAATTGTGCACTTAAAAAAGATTAAGATAGTAAGTTGTGTATTATGTGTATTTTACCACAATAAAAAACAAAACGAAACAAAAACAGTCAGGTGTGGTGGCTCATGCCTGTAATCCCAGCACTTTGGGAAGCTGAGGCAGGAGGATCACCTGAGGTCAGTAGTTTGAGACCAGCCTGGCCAACATGGCGAAACCTTATGTCTACTAAAAATCCCCAAAGTGCTGGGATTACAGCTGTGAGCCACCACACCTGGCCCCGTTGGGATTTTTAAAGTATATCTGGAAAGATCTGAGAGAAGCCAGCAGTGACGGTTGCCTCCGGGAAGGGATCAGGGTGGCCGAGGGACAGAAGAGTAAGGGAGGCCTTACACAGCAGCTCCTTTGCATCTTTCAACGGAAACTTCACCAAATTTTAAAATAAAAATAAAGATGCATGATCAACAATCAAACTTCTAGGACCGCCCCCTAGCAGAAGAGCAGCAGCCGCAGCACACAGGCCTGCCCGAGGGCGTTTCCCAGAGCTCCACAGCCACCAGCAAACTGTGGGACACAGGTGCCACTCCCTTTAGGAAGGAGATGAGCATATTACAGAACTGCAGGAATACAGAATGTCACACAGTGGCTAAAGAATTAAGTAGTATCTACCTCGACGAACATGGAAAGGGGTCCATAACATCTCATTTAATGAAAACAGTGAGTTGCGCAGTGTGTACAATATTCCATTTTTGGCATATTTAAAAATCCTCTGTGTAAACGATGTGCCCACCGACACAGAAGTGTCTGGAAATGCCACCGCCAACTGTGAGCGGTAGGTCCCTCTGGGGACAAGGGTTGGGGGAACGATTTCCACTGGGGCATGTCTTATTTGAATTTATCATGAGACATCTGGACCTTTTCCAATAATTTTGTCAGAGTACAGCCTTGGCCTGTTGCCTGAAAATAAGGTTTTGGAGCCAGGCACAGTGAGTCCAGCTGACGAACCCAGGAGGGAGACCGCTCTGAACACCTCTGCCCCACTGAGCATCGGAGGCACAGTCGGGGCCCTGCTTGATCCATGACAAAGTCACTTCCTTGTCAAATGCATCAAGACCCATCAGCATGGTGATCTGTCAAAACCAAAAAAAGTGGGTGGCAAGCCCTTACGTGACCCTGAGGTCAAGATCACAGAGTGCCTTGACCATCGACCATCATGGAACTTGTGAAACCTGAGTATTTCCTGAATGAATGACTACCTAGAACACTCTCCCTGCAAGCCAGTTTCGGAAGCCCCAACCTGCAGCTGTTATTGTTCTGCACCCCACAGCAACTGCTTGGAGACCCCCGGGTCCGGCAGGGGGAGGCAGAGGGTGCCGAAAGGGTGCAGTGAGGTGGCCGATCAGCGGCTGAAGCCGGTGATCCCTGGGCCAGGACTCAGCTGCCCAGCCCAGAAGTTGGGGGCTGCCTCGGTCCATGACACACAGGCTTCTCAAAACCAGCGAGGTCAGGGAATTTCCACCCCTATCCAGGCCTGGAGGGTCTGTGAGGACCAGAGTCCTCTTGACTCGAGGACCGTAGGTTTGTAAACATCCACACCAACACCACCCACAGCTGCTGATTGTTTATTGCACAAGAAACTGGCAATATCAAGGCAGGGGGCGGGTATTGCAAAACAGTCTGGTGACCAGCCCATGGCTAGCAAAGGGCATTCCGTACAGACACTTCAGTTATATACACGTACGCACACACACGCACGAACACACATGAACACCCGTGAGCCTGATGCTTCCAAACCTCACCAGCAGCTTGCACCCTGACCCACCCTAGAGCGGCTTCCGTGGTGACGTGCCGCAGGGAAGTACGGCAAATGACTGAAACGGACAGAAGAGGTTGCGCTGTGGCAAGCTGAGCCACTCAAATCAGCACACATGACACAGGCAGACGCAGGCTGCACCTCCCCGGCCAGGAAAAGGTCGAGAATCTGGGAGCATGGAGACTGTGCTTGGAAGGTACCCGGGACCAGGCCAAGGGGCTGCCTGGGGTCCTAGAATCCTGGGGGCCCGGGCCGGGAGTCTGCCATGATTACTGCCTCAGCATCCTGGGGGGGCATGGTCATCTTGAAGATTTCAATGTGACCTGTGAAGTTTCCAATTATGGCAGAGTCCCCGGGTTGGAGGCTGGTGGGAACTGCAGAAATCAGACCGGGCTATGCAGCAGGTCAGGGCCTTTCTGCTGGTTTCCACGTCCTGTGTGCAGATAAAGCACCTACACAGAATGGACACTTTCCGCTGGCCGGGCCGCACTCCATTCTGAACAGGGGACCAGCAGGCCTGCCTGGAACTCCAAGGGCTGGCGGGAGAGCTCCACAGCCGGATCCCTGTGTCCCGCCACTGGGGACTGCCTGGGGGACCCTATCTAGCAAAGGGATTTCTTCTCTATTGAAGGCAGCAAGGCTAGGAGTGGCGCTCGGGACCTCAACCCCTCCCACTCTGCCAGGCTCGGGGACGAGATCCCTGCCAGGCTGCGCCGCTGGGTCAGGCCCGCCTGAGCTCACGGAACCACCAGGCAGGTTCCTGAGAGGCGTGGCTGTTTAGGAAACTCGTGGACCCAAAGGCCTGGGTCCCTCAAGGTCTCAGAACGCCTGGGGTGCCAACTCCTGGACAGAAAGTGACAGCAGCATAACAAAAAAACCTGCAACCCTACAACACAACCGCTTCAAGTTTATAAATGGAAAAAGAAAGTCTGAGGGAGTCTGCTGTTTCTGTCCCATGGATACCCAGGCAGCTTAGACAAACCTTCATTTGCTGAGAATGAATTAACTGGCCAGCATGCGTCCTGCGACTCAGCCTCCATCGCTGCTGCCTGCTAGGGAGGCAGGTGGAGATGGCCTCGCCCCAGGGCCGTCGCCCTCAAACCTTCACTTCATCTCGATCATCAGAGAGGCTCAATTACAGGCAGAACCTCCTTTGCTGGCAAAGACCCTTGGCTCTCAGTCCAGAACAGCCCACCCCACCCCCAGGAGCCGGTCTCCTGGCCAAACTAGTCCGGGAGGTCTCCAGCCTCTGCGACTGCCCCTGGGGATGCAACACCTTCCCTTGCACACACACACCCAGGGTGGGGTCTAGGGGATGGGGGAGAGTTTTGCAGAGAGGGTCACCCCTCTGGAACTTTGCGAAGGTGGGGCCAAATGCAACTAGGGGGCTTTATTCCAGACTGCCATCCATGGGTGGGGGGAACTGCAGGGCCTCCTGGGATCAGGCTCTTCTGCCAGAAGCGAGATGATGGCGTCGTCCCACACAGGGCCACATCCACGGGGGCCTCCCAAGGGCTGCAGGGCCGGTGGCCTCCCAGGCAGGGAGGACTCAGGACTATGTGTGCACTGGGGGGTGTGGGGGGGCGGCCTCAGTTACTCCTGTCCAAAGCCCTCGGTCTCCTCAATGGCATACAGCAGCTTCTCTCTCAGCTGTTCGTAGCTCTTGTAGGGAGGAAGATCCAGACGGTTGAAGCTATCGAGAGTGGGGAAAGCACGAGAGTCAGCCCCAGGAGGCCAGGGCCCTGACAGCCCCGCCCTGCCTGCCTGCAGCAGGGCCACAGGGCTTGCGCCACACTGGCTAGGGCTCAGGGGCTGCCAGTCAGGCCTTTACACTGCAGGTGCCTGGACCATGGGGTGTTAAGCGAGGGGCCAGGACAGCTGGAAATTGGTTGGGGGGACACTTAGGGCAGTAGCTCTTGGACTACTGGAACAGAAGCGCTTCATATGTAAAACCCGGCAGATAAGATGCCCATCACAGCCCCATCTCTCCAACCCAACACCCCAGGGCCACGCAAAAGCTGCCAGACTCGAGGCTAAGAAGCTGCTACACCCACTGGGCTGTCCCAGGAGCTCATCGGGTCTGAGGCCCCCCGACGTCCCACTAAAACTAGAAGGCTCACCAGGTGTGGCTTCTGGGCAGCCAGGTTTCCTTGCCAACTTTGTCAATGCAAAACTTCTGTGGTCCATTGCTACCTGTGATCCAAGGTAAAACACACCCATGTCAACAGAGACATGCCTTCCCAAAGCAGGACCCTCCGGCTCCGCCCACAGATGGGCTCAGCCCAGGACACAGAGGCCTCAGCTCTTCTCCATCTCACTGACGTTCTTCCAGGAAGAGACTAGGTCCCCCTCCCTCTGAGCTGTCCTCACTGCCAGCCAGGACACCAGAGGGCGAGAGAAAATGTACCAATGAGTTCAGCAAATCCCCCGATGGGCAGGCGGCAGGTCCCGGTGACAAACTGCAGCAGCCGGATCCTCTTCTCATTGTCCATCTCCTTCACCACCTGGAAGTCCGCAAGTCAAGGCACAGTCAGGCGACCCACGGGCCCAGTACTTAGCCTGAACGTGGAGCTCTCCAGCTCAGCGGGGCCCCTCTTTGGGGCTGAGGACACAAAGCCAGGTTGGCCAGGGGATGACAGCCTCCAACCTGAGAAAGCCCGGAAGTGCTTCTGCTAAGAGGCTGTGTCTGCAGAAGATTCCCACCCGTCCATGGGACATCTCTGGGTTTCAGGGACACTGAGTATTCTCTTCCCATCCAAGTTCTGCTTTCAGAAATGACTAAATAGGGGAGTGACTGCTTAATGGGTATAAGGTTTTTGGGGAGATGAAATGTCCCAGAATTCGATAGCGGTGACAGGTGCACAACACTGTGAATATACTGGAAGCCCCTACTCTCTCGCCCGGGCTAGAGTGCAGCGGCCGGATCTCGGCTCACTGAGTGCAGCGGCACGATCTCGGCTCACTGCAGTCTCCACCGCCCAGGTTCAAGCGATCCTCATGCATCAGCCTCCCGAGTAGCTGGGATTACAGGTGTACGCCACCACACCTGGCTAATTTTTTGTATTTTTAGTAGAAAGAGGATTTCACTATGTTGGCCAGGCTGGTCTTGAACTCCTGACCTCAAGTGATCCACCCACCTCGGCCTGGGTGGGAAGCCAAGGAAGCCAAAGTGGAAAGCCACTGAATTGTGTATCTTAAAAAACTTAAATGGGTTGGGCACAGTGGCTCATGCCTGTAATCCCAGCACTTTGGGAGTGTGAGATGGAAGGACTGCTTGAGCCCAGGAGTTCAGGACCAGGCTGGGCAACATAGCAAGACTCTGTCTCTATCAAAAAAAAAAAAAAAAAA